AGTTAGGTAATTTGTTGGAGGTGCATAGGGGCAAAAGACCAAGTTAGGCATTTCACATAGAATTGGATAGATATCCGTTCTAAATGAACCATGGATTAATGTATTGTGAAGATATGGTGTACCCTAGTTCCAAGTCAACACCTAGGGTCAATCCTAAAGCCAAGTAATCCTATAGGGACTCTTCTTGAATTCTCTTATAATGATCTTACCTACTAAATGCTAGAGGTTAAGATCATTATGTGAAATTTCAAGTTGAGTAAAAAGAAGAGTTTTGAATTTCTAATGGTGGGGGTACCTTTTCTAATTTTCTAAGACTAGTCAATAAGAAAGTCCTATGGCTAGACCTAGACTACTAAAAAAGTTTTCTAGACCTCAACCAAAAGTGAGGTCAACAACGTATTTCATTCCCTTGTGACATCCTACATTGCGGTCTCAGTTGAGGCAGTGTTTATCCGAGAAGTGGTTTGTTTGCATAGGGCACCGAAATTGATTATATCAGATTGATAAGGTGTTCCCCAACCATTTTTGAAAAGAGATATTTAGGTTGCTAGGAACGGTCATTAAGAGAAGCACCACATATCATCCCTAAACTGATGGACTGAAGGAGGTGCTCAACAGGAGTGTAGAGACATATTGCGTTGTTTTGTATTTGATATGCCGAAGCTATGAGTTAGGTGGATTGCGTGGGCAGAATATTGGTATAATACTTAGTACCATACAGCGGGATTAGGGTTGTCAAAACAACTAGTTGTTCGCGAACAACTCGTGTTTGGCTCGTTCGCTAAGTTAACGAGTCGAACACGAACAAAGATTTGTTCGTTCGTGTTCGGCTCGTTTTGGCTCGAAATATATTGATGAGTAGTATTTTTAAAATTTTTAATTGACTACAAGATTACAAAGAATTATAATCAATAAAAATATTAATTAAGAAAATAGAATAAAAAATAATAAATTAGATTCAAATGATATTTTAATATAAAGAATACTTTTTAAATCTTGCCCCAACCTTTAACATCTTATGGCTATGTGATTAGGGTTGTCAAAATGACTCTTTGTTCGTGAACAACTTGTGTTCGACTCGTTAAGCAACGAGCCGAACACGAATACACTTTTTGAGCTCGAAATATAAACGAACTGAACAGGAGCTGAGCCTGAGCTCGCTCGTGTTCGGATCGTTTACACCCATAGGCGGGATCCGCCTTACTTGATACATTATGGGCATGACGCTACACCTATATCCATTATCGATCAGTACTTGGAGGAGAGAGACAGAATATTGACTGAGCTAAAGTGACATCTACTGAGAGCCCAAAACATCATGAAGAGGAAGACATATGAACATAGGAGAGATATATAGTTCAAGCTCGTGGACATGGTTTATTTGAAGCTAAGGCCCGATTAACAGATGATATTGGCAAGACGGAGGAGCGAGAAACTCTCTCCCTGGTATTCTGGGCTCTATGAGATCATAAGACGCATTGGGTCAATGGCCTAACATTGAGGTTACCGCTAGCATAAGCAATACATCCCGTCTTTCATTTTTCGCAACGGAGGTGTGCCATCAAAGACAATACATCCTCGTCATTACTGCCTTCGACGCTGACATAGGACATGAAGGTAATTGTGGAACCTTTAGAAGTTACATGATTGCGGCAAGGGGTGGCTAGAGCAAATGAGATTTTGATTAAGTAGAAAGTTCTGTCAGATTATGAAGTTACGTGGCAGCCTTACGAAGGGATACAAAAACAGTCTCCAAGTTTCCACTTTAAGGACAAAGTTTTTCTTTAGGAGGGGAATATTGATATGCACGGGAGTGCTCCCGTTACCCAAGATACACACTGGATTCCTCACGTGCTACGTGCACGGGTTCAGGTCTAGAATGGCCAAAAGGAGCCAGACCAACCGTCCCAACCCAAATATGGTTCAGGTAATTCCGACATCCGAGTGGGGCCCGTTAAGTCGTAAATCATGTATAGAAGGAAGGGAGTTAAGGGGGGCTTTTGGGGGGAAATTTGAAAAGGACCCTTTGGGGTTTTGTATTAGTGCCTAAGGTTTTGTATTAGTGCCTAAGGGTTGGGGTTTACTTTTTATAAATTCTTTTTTTTGCCGGCTTAGATGGTTTGGTCACATTAAACGTGGACCATCTGATGATCCGATTAGGAGAGTGGATGTTTTAGATTCGACTTATGTTACGGAAGGCAGAGGTAGACCTAGGAAGACTTGGGCTTATTGTATAAAAAATGATCTTAATTTACTAGAACTAAATGAAAATATGATACTAAATAGGACACAATGAAGAAAAAGGATTCATGTAGCCGACCCCACGTAGTGGGATTAAGGCTTTGTTGTTGTTGTTTTTATTTTGTCAACTGCAAGTTTCTTTTTCTTTCGATGGTAATCCTAGTGACATCTAGGGTTGTGGGAGAGACGATTTATCTCTCGAATAGTAGATCATCCTTGTATCTTGATTGTTTTCCTTTGATTTTCGTAAGAGCAACCGTCATTTGAGTTTTCCACCTTTTTATTGCAAGTTCGTCGTTGTTTGCTCGCTGACTTTGGTGTTGGATCGTGTCACCCTATTTAGTGGGATAAAGGCTTATTGTTGTTGCTCTTGTAGTAAACCCTTTCAATTGCATCTATGCTCATCTACAGTACTAATGATTTTCATCGAAATTTAATTAAATACCTCATTTTTGAAGTATGACTTTTTCTTAAAAATGCTATGCTATTCTCTTCAATGCCTTTGTAGTTTTGTTATTTATTGTTTTAGGCTTTTAGCTTAATTTATCTTTTGAAATTTCATGATAATTCCTTCTCTTTTTGAATTTTGAATATTTCTCACATTTTTGTCTTTCAGGGCTGTTCGTATTGCACCTTTCTCGAATAGATTGGCTCAATCTGTTCCATCCAATATACAAGCATTGAGATGTCTATCAAATTTCGAGGCGTTACGCTTTTCTGAACCAATACGACTTCTTGCAGAAAATATGGTTCAACGAATGGTGAAAAATAGTTCAGCAAGTGGTGGAAAGTATATTTCTATTCATCTTCGATTTGAGGAGGTATTTTTGCTAATGCAGTATAATTTTTAGTTTTTTTTGCCCCTTTTGTATATGATGCAAATTAGAAGACTTAATTATTTTTATTCCTTTGCAGGATATGGTAGCATTCTCATGTTGTACGTATGATGGCGGTCAAAAAGAGAAAAAAGAAATGGATAAAGCTCGTGAAAAAAGTTGGAGGGGAAAATTTAATAGGCCGGGTAGAAAAATTAGCCCTGAGAACAATCGGAGGGATGGAAAATGCCCATTAACTCCTTTAGAGGTTTGGAAGAATTCAGTTTCTTTTATCAGTATTTATAGAAATTAGACACTATTGTAATACTCATTAAGCATAATTGTATGCGGGGTTTGTGTATTATGGATCATAAGTTTTCTTTATTCTCATACTTTTACTTTTGCTTCTTTTGTCAAGGCTTCACATTTGAACAAACTCATATGATCATCCATTGATTGTTTCAGTAAATCAACTAATAATGTATGATTTTTTGCTTCTGTTTTTTTGAGTTTGTACAACCGTAGTTTTCTCATAACTCTTAATATTCTTCTTTTATTGTATAATGTTGAAGATTTTCAGCATTTATGCATCATTTAATTTAGATCTTACTAATTTTTAAAGTCAAATGTTTCACATTGTTTTCTTTAGGGATTGCCTTTCTTTCACATTGTAATTCATCTCACCTAAGACATCTAGTGTTTCGGTTCTTTTATGATTATTTGTTCAGCGATATGCTAGCTAAGGTATTGTTCATGTCTGGCATTAAGTAGTTTATGCGATGCATACTTTGAATGTTAGGTTTTGGAGTGATGTTTTTCCTACTTACTGGCCTTTGAGGATGGTAAATTTCTTATTTGTTGGCTGCAACACCTTACTAAACATGATAAAAATTATCTTCTCATTTTTCTTAAAATGAGTAAAAGCCTTTCGAAACTGTAGCTAACTTGCTCTTATTTCCTCACCTCTCTCTTCTTCTATTTCTTCTACATTCTAGTGTTTGTCTTATCATATACGTTGTATCTCTTGTAGTCTTCACTATTATTGAACTGGGAAGTTCATAACATTCAACTCTTGTCGTTGATTTTATGTGTGGTACAAGATTTGCTTGGAAGACGTACATGAACGCTCTCCTCACATTTGGATGAAGGGAATTTTTTATCTTTTGAAGATCATGGCTATGGATGGTTTTCATTCTCGGACTACATTCAGGTTGTTTGTTAACCAAGATTATGAAAGGCTAATCTTAATTCCAAATGAAAGATGGAAGGATAAAAATAGTAGTCTTTTTTATATAATAATAGACTTAGCTCCTGTTTTATGAGTTCACAATGATGATAATACCTACTCTTACTATTAAAGTTGAACTAACGTAGTTGACCAATGAAGCTTAGTTGGGCCAATATGGGATTAGGGAAATACATCCTTCTCGTAGTGTGTTTGTAACCATCCAACTAGTGTAAATGGCCCAATGTGACATGTTGTCATATTTCTTGTATACTAGTAAGCACCTCTTAATGTACCTTGAACTTATGTGGATCCATCATTTTGAACTCTGGTTGTGATACTAGAGGTAACCAAAGATTACAGTAAATTGAAAAAACTATTATAGAAATACAGGGAAACTACAACAAAAGGTTTCTTAGAACCGGAATAAACGGCAACAAACACAAACAACACCTTAGGGTGAGGAAAACAGTGCTGGGTGGCGGCTTGACAGCAAGTAGAGGGGCTGCTTGGAGGCTGCGGGCACAAAAGGAGGTTGTAATGGCGTGGCAACAACACTGGAAGGCAGGAATGAGGGGGTGGCAACAACAGGTAGGTAGGGGGAAGTGTGGCGGCAGCTAGCTGGGAGCCTAGAGGGCAGGCACCTACAAGTTGGGAGGGAGTAAAGGTATTACAACAATAGGTGGGGGTGTTGTTTGGGCTATGGCAGCTGCAGGAAGGCGGAGTGGGGCTAGCGGCAGGGAAAAAAAGAGAAAGGAAGTTGTGCAGGTGGAAGGCCAGTGATCGGCAGGTTGCAGAGGATTGGGAAGTCAAGGATAATCACCATCTTGGAGCAAGATACAACCGAAGTACCACCCGTCCTCGGATACAACACTAAGAAGGAAAATTGGAGTCGCTGATAGCTATCCTGATAGAAGAATGCAACAAAAACTAACCCTAAAGAAAGAAAATAACATATTTATAGTGGTAGATAACTAGAAGGGGGTAGACTCCACTTGGGCGACAACCCTAAACTGGAAAGGGCTGGCTGACCCCCTATCACCTTGGCTAAAGTGGCTCATCCTTGCACAATCGGTTCAGTCTCTCCCCCTCAGCCTAATGTTAGTCTCGCGAGGTTGGTGGAGCTTCGACCTCATTCGGCGAAGCTTTTGGACGGTGATTAAGTTGTCGTAATCTCCCGGGATTGAAGAATCTTCTATTGCAACCTTAATAGCACATGTATCCCACCGTCGAATGCATTGTTTCACAATACACCAAGATCGTTTTGTCCACTTGCGAACATACATCTATATCAGCCCAACCTTTTAGAGGTACACTATTGAACTGGGACTTCGTGTCACACACCATCTATTGAATCCTTATAAGCTAATCCAAGGTTGACTCAACTTGAGCTAAAGTTAGAGTAACCCGAACCTCCTCGAATAATGGTGGTCATGGCCTTAAAATTTTGATCTGAGGTCATGAAATGCTCTTTGTCGTGGCTGTTCCATGTCTGAAATCGATCGCACAGTTCTATCATTCTCTATCATCATCAAAACTAATCCCACTTACGCTTCTCGACTGACTAAGGAACCTGTTGTCTTGGACTCTGTAGAAGGTAAAAGGACGATACACTTACCATCTTTGGTGAAGGAGTGGACGTTCATTTACCCATCATGTTGAGTCTTACGGTCATGCTGCCACTTTCTCTATAGCAAAAGGTGGCAGTTATCTGTAGGCATTACGTCGCACCACACCTAATCCTGCAGATGACCTTCAATTGAAAACTTCACTGGACATCTCTTGTCAATGCGGATCTTGTTCTCCTTCAACCCCGTTATAGAATACGACTGGGAATTCTTCTGAGTCGTGAGGCTCAATTTCTCCATCATCTATGTGGACTTCATGTACTTGTTGCTCTCTTCATCGATGATGAGATTGCACACTTTTTCGTTCACAGTACAGAGTGTGTATAATATATTGTGTCAAAGTTATTGTGGTTCTCTCGTATCTCCAGTCCATAGGACCCGTCAAACCACGAGCATCTCGCCCTCATTCGATGGAAGATGATACACCTCACCCTGTTCTTTAGTTGTTTCCTCATCGCTATTCTCCTCCACTGCGACCTACTGGGTAAAAAACATGACTCGACTCGTAGGGTAGCTGGAGGAGATGTACCCAAATCCATGACATCTAAAATATTTTCGGGTGGAGACTGTAGTAGGCATGCTACTCTTCTCAAGCTTCTTATCTTAGGGCGTCATTGTCCTTATCTAAACTAGTTTTCTCAATTCTCTAAGGCTTGCTCCTGCTGATGTCTCCAATTGCTGGTGGCTCCTTGAATGGTGGTGGTTGTCTACTTTGTTTCTGTTGTGTCTATCTTCTGGGCTAAGACTTAGACATCTCTAGTGACCAATAGGGTTGCAACTACACAACGTTGCTGATAGCGGGTTTCAAATCCTCCAGATATCGGGCTATGGAATGTTCCTTTGGCTCACACTTCTTCTGCAATTAGTCAAACTGTGTTGTGAACTCCTCCACTGAGTGACCTCTCTGCTATAGATGGTGGAGTCGTAGAAACATATCATGGCGGTAATTGGGAGGCTGGTATTTTCTCTGCATCTCCTTCCTCATCTTCTCCCACCTTGTAATCTTGCCATTGCCCTATCTTTTTTTTTGTCTCTGCAAGTTTTCCCAACACAAGGAGACCCTCTTCTTCAACTTGATGTTTGTCAGCTTCTCCTTGTTATCCTCTGGCACTTCTTTGTACTTGAAGGGTTTCTCAATTGTTTGTAGTTGTTCGATGAAATCGTCCAGATCCATACGTTTATCGAACTCCTGTAGGTCCACTTTGGTTCCAAAATCTCTGTGTCCTCCATATGGTGCATCCTCTCTCAGTTTCCTCTCATATTGAATTTCGAAATATTGTGGCCCATCTTTTTCATCACTAAAGTGTTCCCTATGGGAAGGTTTCATGTTCTCATCCCTTTCTCCTTTTCTACTTAACCTATAACGACCCAAGGTAATTTTCCCCTGTGTTGGTTTATCCATGTCTGGAAGCCTCTGCTTACGTCGACAGATCTCTCACTCTTTTTCTTCTTGGGTAGGCTCGGACATGTATCTCCTTAGTGGAATGACTAGGGCTTGAGATTTGGAAGGGGTTGTTGGGTATAACAAAGAAATTGTTTTTGGGGTGGTGGTGGTTTGGATGGGGATCTGGTTAAGCTAGCTCTGATGCCAATTGATACTAGAGATTACCAAAAATTGTAGTGAATTGAAAATATTATTGTAGAAATACGGGGAAACTACAATAAAAGGGTTCTTATAACATGAATAAACTATAACAAATAAAAACAATACCTTATGACTGGTTGAAGGTTGTGGGCACAACAAAAGGCTGAAATGGTGTGGCGGCAGCACTAGTTGGCAGGAATGAGGGGGCGACAACAATAGTTAGACATGGGGAAGGGTGGTGGCAACAACCTGAGAGAGCGGAAATGTATTACATCAGCAGGTGCAGATGCTGTATGGGTTGCGGAGAGAGCAGGAAGGGGGGATTAGGGCTGGCGACAAGGAAAACAGGGGAAGGGAAGGGAAGGTGTGCAAGTGGAAGAGCAACAAGCGGCAGGGTGTAGAGGATGGGGAAGTCGAGGATAATCACTACCTCAGAGTGACTCATTTCCGGATAGAACCCTAAGAGGGAAATGTGGACGCTGGTGACTGTCTTCACAGAAAAACATAGAAAAAACTAACACTCTATATAGAAAAGAACATATTTATAATAGTAGATAATTAGGAGATGGTGATTATCCTAGATTCTTGGGATTTTGTATGTTCTTGAGGACAAAGTTATAGGTGGCTGTGATTCTTGGAACAATTTTTGGTTTTCTTAGTTAAGTTTATGTTAAGGGGTCTGTTCATTTATTCTCGCTTGGATCTTCTTCTTGCTGTGTGCTTTGATTTCTTTTTTCTTCTTGTTTGCTTTGCTTACTTGCTTCTCACTCTTCTCTTTCTTTGATATTACCTCCTTTTTGTGATGTAGGATGACTTTAATAAAAGAAGTAGAAAAGATAATGTAGAGGATGGAGAAGATTTAGGAGAGCACAAAGGTATTTATGTCTTACTCATATATAAAGAGATAGCCTATCCCAAAATTTCTTTTATTTTCATACGAACCGAGGGTTGATATCATAGAGTTGATGAAGGAGAAAAATTTTCTCATCCATAATAAAAATTTTATTCATCCTACGAACTGCACTTCATTATTTCAAAATTTTATATTTTTGAACAAGCAAGAAAACAAACTATTAAGAAATTAGTGAATTGTTAAAAAAAAAAACTACTAATAAACTAGTAAAATTGCTAACAAACTCGGTGACATTGACTAGATCAATCTTAATAAAATAACTTTATCATCCATGAAAAGATAACAATTTCTGAAGGTGTGGATTATATATATATATATATACC